TGTCAGACTGCCCAAGACGCCAGCCGTTCAAACATCACCCAGTCCACTAGCACAGGGTGGCAGAGGTTGCACCCCCTCACCCATCTTCTCACCTACCATCCTCTCACATCTTCCAGTTCAAAAAAAACCAGCTGCGGCTTGTAGGGGAACCAAACCAGAACCAGCAACCGAGGAAACAAATCCGAGGTCCCTAGCCAACGTGGCCGCAAGCGCAATCCGCTTGGCCGTGGCTCCATGACAACGGACTATGAATGTGCAAGCAGAGTCTCGAGTCTCCAGCAGTATTGCAATGGCCAAAGCAATCCCAAGGGCAATCTCCCTCCCCTTGACTGTGCCAGCCTCGACCGGCATGCGCAGAGCGTGCAACACGATGACCTCCCGAGCGCAACAAATACCCTGCCAGTCGCGCTAGCTTGATTTTTCCTCGTGCCAAATTCTGGGGCCGAGGCAGGGTCCGTTGGCTTGCATCCCTTGGGCCAGTTGCGTGCCATCCAGCCCTCCTTCTTGGATAGGACCAACTCCTGGAGCTCCAAGTGGCTCTTTGACAACAGCCGGAACACGACATGCAATGGGATCCCCAACGGCTCCTTGAAGGTATTCGGAGAGTAATACGCCAGCTTCCAAATAAAGAGCCACACAATCATATTCATGTACTTCAGGGCCTAAGCAAGAATGTCAGAAGCGGCATTTCTATTCAAGCCCCGACTGCGGACTTAGTCTGATCTTCATGCAGCTTTGTGCCCCATTGCCTTATGCGCATTGCGATCAAGGCACTTTTGGCAAGGCAGCAACTCGAACACTTTCAAAGTTGCTCTCGACCAGGTCCGGGTCCTTCTCTTCAGAAAGGTAGTAGTGATGAGCCTCACAGCTGAGGTTTGACTGCCTCTGGCCATAACATGATGATCGGCCAACTCCTTTGCCAATGCAGTTTGTCTTAGGAAATTATTTCGGACATTGGTTGGTCGTGAGTTGCTTTGTTGTGTTCATTGCCTTTGGCTGTGGTGTCGCTTCTCGCTTGCATAACCATCGTTGTCGCAAACTACTTCTTGTGGCAGTCAAGAGGCCTTGTTGTGTTCCACGTCCTTGGACGCCATCACTGGAAAGCTTGTTTTGCGCAGCATTTGATAGCAAAAGCCTTCGCCAAAGTTTCCCAGGCTTGTGGTAGCATCCAGTCCAGCCAATCAAAGAAGCGCCGCGCGCCGATCGCAAAAACTCCTCGCCTGGGCAGAAATGCCCCAGACAAAAATACTAGCGTTCTGACCTCTGACATCGTTGATACCATGTCTTTTGTTCTCTGCTGTTTTGCAACGCCTAATGCCCCTTCAACAACATGTTGGGTTGACAAGGGGGGCTAGCCTGGACAACTGTATGCAAACGCACCACAAATAACGACGCTTTATGGGGTTCGTGGCCAACTAGCGTCTTCCAAGTGCTGTCAAAACTGCATACTCGTGTTTAGGAACTGGCACTTCTCACACGCGCTTTTGTGGCCTCAGGCTACAGATTGCTGCTCTTCGGGAGCCGCGAGAAGCCCAGAGAGGTCAGCGTGGCCTATGTTGTGTTGGGCAAAACCCCTGTAGGCGCGGCCTATTGTCGAGCACAAGCGCTGCAGAAAGCCTCTGGACACGCGCGTGATGGGTCCGACCTTCTGAGAAGAGCTGGCTGCGGCTGAGCTACTTTTTCAGCAGCGCGCCCATAAAGTCAGCACCCTCCGTGCACTTGGGCTGCTGCGGCGGGCTGTTTGAGAGCAGAGCTTTAAGCTACAAATTTCATCTTCGCATACTTTCTTGATTGCGCGCTGCGCGCGCTTGTCATGTTGGCGTCTGCGAGCTGCTGCGCGCAGTCCGTCTACTTCCAGAATCCCTGATGGAAACACTTCTTTCTGGCTTTGCGCAAGCTGTGCCCAGGCTGCGATAGACCACATACTCGCATTTCTGGCCAGTGATGTGTCAATGTGTGGCTGTGTCTTGCATTGCTTTGACGGAAGTCAAAGATGTCCGAACAGAACCACCCCCGCATACGCCTGCCAAAATTCAGCGCAATCCAAACATAACCATCCCCCCAACCCCCCCCCCCCCCCACCGACACTCAAGTCCGTGCCAACCCCCCCCCGTCTACCCAACATGTTGGTTCAATCGCCCTGTCCTGCCGCACCCTGGGGAGGGGGGGAGGGGGGGAGGGGGGGGTGGGGATGGTAGCGACAACACCCACGGGCACCGCTGCCGTAACTGCTCAGCGGCATGGATACCTCTTCCTGCGCTGCTTTTGCTCTTTCTCTTGTGCTTTTGCTGAGGCTTGCTGGCTGCTCTCCACCGCACTCGTGCTCACTGCTTCGTGTTGCTTGGCTAGCTGACCCCTTTTACTTGGACTCCCACATTGACGTGCTTGCTCTGTCTGACCCTTTGACTGCTTTTGTTCGCTCCACCTCCTCCTTGTTTTGTCGGGCCCCTCTTGACTTTGATCTACTGGGCGCGAGTTTACCTTGTCTCCTCAACGCTTGGCTCACTTACCTTTCTTCTCTTCGAGGTCCTGCTCCGCTGCACGTCTGTGCTGCTGCATTTGCGCTGTCCCTTCGAGTACTCCACTTGCGTGAGCATGCAGCCATGGCAATGCCTCAGCTAACCGGCCCAGAAGAAAGCTGGCGAGGTCACAGGGCTTTCAACCTGTCCCTGGGCTCCGAAAATGTCTGCTGCTAGCTCCAAGCCAATGTTCAAACGGAAGGGCTCGGGTGTCTTGCTTGTGGGCGGTGACCAGCGAAAGGAGCCACAGAACACGTGGATCCTTTGTCTTCTTTGTTCGTCGGTCAGAAACCTGGCCTGATGAATGTGTTGAAGGCAGTTGTGTGCTTCAGAAAGGCCATGCAAGATACTTGCGCGCCTCAGCAAGTTTTTAATGACTTGAGCTGGCTGAGCTGTCCATGAAGGTACAAAAAGAGTGAGAATTCATCTGCGCGATGTGCCACGCCTGCCATGCGAGCGTTGCCACGCTGAAGTTGACACTTTTGGACAAGTATGTTGCCACCTTTTCAAGCTCCTGTGCTACCACTCCTGTATGTCTTTTGTATTGGTTTTTTACCATTGTTTTTGTGTTCTGTTCGAAAGATGCTGCCCCAACTTCTCCCCCAACTTGTTTTTTAGTGATTGATGGCAAAAGCCGACGCTTGCAAAAGCGCGGCAAGACATGGCGATGGAGCCAACATGTTGATCATCCCCTGCGTTCCGGTGTGCGAATTCAACTCTCCTCCTTGGTGCATACTCACCTTTGCAGCTTACGATCCATAATAATGTCCAGGCCACTTGTAGTGCGATGGCAGGACATTCGGATGGCTTTTTTGGAGCTTGTCAAAGCCTGAGTTAACGGATGATCAAAGTGTGCATTGCCAACAGCTTGGGAGGCCTCCATGGCATACGTGGTGTCCAATGATTGCCCACTTCATGCATCGCGCAAAGCTGATCATGCACGCTCCTGCAGTGCTCTGACTTGAGAATGAGCAAGAAGGCTGCACTCTGCACTTGGCTGGCATGGGCGGTTTCTGCTTCTGTCAGCCTACAAAGCAGGTGGCCACGGTCAGAGCACCCCAGGACATGGCTGCACTCACTAGCAGGAGCGCATGACCTCAGGGAAAAATGTTGCATGCGTATAAATTGGCAACTAGAAAACCCTGAGACCAAAATTTCAGCCGTCCCAGCCTCCGTAAAGCAGAACCTGGCAAGCGCCCCTCATCGATGCATTTCACCAACACCCGAGCAATGTGTGTGGCTAAAACCACGACAAAAACGATGTTTCTTGGCATTTCTTGTCGAATGATGGCACACGTCATGGAATGTTGAATATGTGTTAGCCGTGGCACTTGAGAAATGAAGACAATGCGCTGCATGTGCGTGGCATCCTCCTCTGTGGCCTCGCCCACAGCAGCCTGTCAAGGGCACATGACATCCCACAAACATCGGGAGAAACACGCCCAGGTGACATTGCTCTCGCCTTCGCTGCTGTGATGTCTGCCAAGAACTTGTCAGGATCAAAGCTTGAATCAAGGATGTATTTTTCAGACCTGGGTCTTGCCAAATCTCCACAACCTCTTCGCATCTCACATCCCGCCAAGTCCCAGACTTGCACATGGCTCGCTAGCTCACAGGCTGGCAACAGCTGCCAAGTAATAGGCCCTTGTGCGGGGCTGCATACTCTATCAATGTCTCACCAATGTTCAATAGATTTCAGTGGTGCAGCTAATGCATTGATATCCTTTCATGGCACGCGGCTTGCCTCTATTTGGTGATACGCTTTCCGTGGTCGGATCCAAAAGAGCCCAAAATCATGCAAATCATCAAGCACAAGTGCAAGAACACTGCATGTTTCTGCAGGTTTGTGCACACAGGATCAGGCTCTTCCGCCAAAGCGGACACGTCGCTATCGTCTGGCATGGCAAAATTGAAAGCGGAAGCATGTAGACTATGCGAAAAGCTCACGTTAAACCCGCCTTGGTAGCAGTAGAACAGCACCACAACCGTCGAAGCAATTCCATCATCCTCCATGCCTGCAGCTAAGCTGAATCAACCCCAGCATGCAATGCACAGATTGTTCATTGATACAAGCAAAGCTCTGCATTGGAGTGAAAGGGTTGTGCCTTCACATTGGACTATGCAGCAGCCAGAATCTGTTCATCCAAACAAACAAGCGTCGATCATAAATTGTTCATTAAAATATATATATATATATATATCCTGCTCTGCTAATGCGTTGCTGATATGTCATGACCCACATGACAGCTTGTGCTGGTCATGCAAATGTACACGACTGAGCAATGATGCGGGGCTAAGCGGTCAACAAGTTGCAGCCTTGCCAAATAGGAACTCTATGCCAAGTGTGCTTCACATTGCCCACGCTGCATGCTTGTCCGCTGCACCTGTCTCAGGAGGTCGCAAAGCCTCACGCTTTGACCCTACCATTCTCTGCTCAAAGAGCTGCTGTCCCTGAGCTGCGGCTTGTGCCTGTGAAACTCACTCTGCCAGCTGCAGGCGGTCACTCGGCGGTCCCCGCAGCTGGCACAGTGACACCTTCGTCTTTGTCCTAGCATCACAATCTGATGCCAAGCATCGCTAAAGCGATGCGACCACAGCTCACTCACGGCCTAACTCAGGCCCTGTTCTCGGGAGGAAGCATCTGTGGAGGGAGACTTGCAGGAAGATCCTGGGGTTGCACGTCGAGCAAACATTGCATGCTGCACGTTGTAGCTGCCATGTGTCAAGCAATATCATTCGAACCCGACAACTGTCCTGACCAGCCAGCTTCATCTTGATGAGGTGCTGGGCAAGAGCAAACTCAGAGAGCGTAAGTGCACCATCCTGGGACTCGCTGTCGATTCATGGCAAGCGACATCAAGCAAAGAATGCTTCATGTTGCATGCCCGATGCTCTCTGCATGTGTCTGTATGTGTAGACTGTGTCCTTGTCCACATCGGCCAAATTCCATATTGCATGGAGCACTTTGGATGGCAGCTTGCTCTGCTCCAGAATGTTTTTGGCCTTTCAAGGTGTGAGCCATTGTGCTGAGACCCAAATCTGATGCTGCAAATGCTCACCATCATGCGCAAATGTCAAAGCAATAACAAATGTTGAAACCCAAAGCTAGAGAAAGCTCAACGAGAAACGGCCTGAGCACCTGTAATCTTTCCAGCTGCAGTGGGACCTGATGCTTCACGATGCAAAAATGGTAGGAAGACTTGCTGACTTGCTGTATGTCGCAATGCCTGGCGCAGCTTAACAAGGCACCTTGGGTGCCCAGCCAATAGTTTCGAATTCCTTCACATACTGGTCTACCTTGCGAGTGACCAAAGCGACCAACACAACAAAACATTAGATCCATGCAAGCTGCCTGCCATTTGCTCTATTCGGCATCCAGGTGTCCGACGTTGGGAAATTGGAGCCACCTTGTGCTCAGAACAGTGCACCATGTCTCAGGCCAGGCATTCACGCATCCTCTCAGAGCTCGGCTGGTCTTGGCCAAAGGTTGATTCGCTTGCGCCATCGACCTTAGCAGCAAACCAGAGCAGACTACCAGACATCAGGCCGTGCAAATCAAAACTGGCAGTGGTCACCATTGTGCCTTCATGACCGCAAACGGCGATGGGCCAGCACCCAGCTGAGCCTCGGCACAGGAAGCAAACTGTGTCTCTGCTCAAGCAACTCATAGAATTCTAGATTCATGCTGCACTGCAGGCTCTCGCCAAAGTTGCCACACAATACGTGAGCGGCCAGCCATAGAAGCCACTTCAGCTGCAGCAGCCTGTGGCAAATAACACAAAAAATAGTGCACAAAATGCTGGAGGAGACAATGCCCAAGGACCCTGCCTCCTCAGTTGTCAACTTGAGAAGCTGTGGTAGCTCTTGATGGATCATCATCTAACAAGGTTGGTGTTTGTATCTTCACAAGCAATGCGGTGTACAAGGCGCAAATCAAACTCAGGGCCCAGGGCCTTTGGAGCAGCGGCACAGCACACTTGAACATAATACCAAGCACCAAGGAATGAACATTGAATTCTGCATGCCTCTCTCCAACGAGAATCAAGGCTCGCACCTCCAGAGCATCCATCTTCTTTTTTTCCAACTTTGGAAACTTTGTGAAGTCCATTTTCTCAAGCTTTTCCTAAGGCGTGACTTGTTCAAACTTATGCTAGCGGCAAGTGCCATTCAACCATTGTCCTTCATCAGGCTTGGGTCAGGGAAGTCTCCCATGGACAAGTTTCTTTCCTGCTCAAAGCCAGCTAGTCAAAAGATGAATGATGTGGCACGGCCAAGCACAACACGTCCATCTCTCCTTCGCAATCTCTGCATAAACGCTAGGTAGATTGTCGATGAGTCTCTTCTGCTCCTGCCGAGTCAAGGACAAACACTGAACATTCGATTGCACAACTCTCTAGCCGGCCTGCAAGCCGCAATACTTGCGTAATTGCTTCTATCAAAGCAGCCCCCAGTGCTTGTGCTGTCCTTGCTCTTGCCCATAAAGGAGGGCATCTTGTTCCTGCAATTGGGACCACCAAACTCGACAACCAAGCAATGAGAGCAAGCACTAAGTTACCGAACAGAAGCGTGACAGGTTGGAGATGCCATCCAATTTTCGTGTCACTCGGCGAGATGTGGTACGCCAATTGCGAAACGTGGATCCAAGCACGGATCCCATCTCCTCAGGTGATTCAGCAGGAAGGCCAAGACCTTGACGAGACACTCCACGTGACATTCAACGAGCGGAATCCACTCTGAGGCGGAATCCCTCGCGAGTCGGGCTCGCTTGATGAGGTCGTTCAGCTTCCTGGTGGCAGCACTCCGTGGCATTTGTGCCAGCGCTGTGTAGAGATCGTTCCTCGGCACTGACAGGGCATGTCATCATGTATTTTCTGCCTGCAGAGTGTCACTTAGCCACTGCTGGTTCAGCACTCGGCAAGTCTCAGCAATCCACTCTTCTGACTCAAAAAGCTTCCTCTGCTCATCATTTTGTAAAGGCTCGTCCTCAGAGACTGGCGGCACGGTCTCTTTGGTTTTCTTCGTCCAAAGTACATGAACAAAATAAAACAATAAAATGTTCACGGATGGTCAGCGTTGGAATAAACTCCTGTAATGCCTGAGCTTCCAACCCAGAACGAGCCAATGTACACGCGGGAAACTTCAGGTGTGTCCTGTGTGGCATCTGTCTCTCCTGTAAAAGATTACACATTTCCCAACAGGGGCCGGACACTTCACTGCAGCATCAGTCTCCAAAGATTTGCAATCGTTTGGAAGGAAACACAGCCCCTGTGACAGTAGCTCAGTACCCTTTCCAACATGCATTGCCAGTAGTAAGACTCGCACGATCACCTTGCCAAGGGACCACATAAGTGCCTCGACAGGACGTCGCCACCATCTAAGGCGGGCTGTGAGCGTCTGAGAATGCCACACCGTAGACGCGCATTAACTGAGGGGTGGTCACCCTGTCCGCCTGATACGCTGCAGTGTGATGCCGACATTCATGGGCGTGGCACTGTCATGCGTCTCTCGTGCTGGAAATGTCTGGAGGCTCAGATTGACCAAACATAAACGTTTGGGTGCACGCACACACACACACACACACACACACACACACACACACACACACACACACACATCAGGCACTCAGGCGCACCAATGGGTAGATATACATGTCTGTATATATGTATAATACACATGCAGTAACATTTTGGACATATGCAGCATACGCATACTGAATATACGTGCTCTCTCCACTCTTGCCCTCCCTCTCTCTTTCTCTCTCTCTCTCTCTCTCGCTCTCCGTCTCTCTCCTCTCTCTCTGTCTCTCTCTCTCTCTCTCTCTCTCTCTGTTTCTCTGTACATCAGCCAGCCTTGTTGAGGATAATATGAATCTTTTGATCATTCCTTAGCGATTGGGCGCAATACTCAACCAAAAAGGTAAGACGCTCATTTGAAAAAAGCTGTTGTTTGCGCAGTTGCTGCTGTTGTATTTGTTCTTGTTTTGAATGCGCCGATGGCGCAAGCATGGTCCTGATGGCTGACTTTGTGGCTGTAATCAGCATAATCTTAGTGTTGACCATCGTCAGCATCTATGTTCTGACGGTGATACATACAAAGCAACGTATCATGTGATGATTATCAACATACCATCTCATTGGGTTCGCTTGAGGGAGCGCCCCACGCGCAGACAAAAGCCTGTGCGCGGTCCGAGCTACACCTCCACTGTTGTGTCAAGTGTCCTTCACAGCCTCTGGGAGCCCCGAATGCAGCCAAGGCTGAAAACAAACCCCAACCGCCCACGAAGCGGACAGCGCGCGGACCTTTCCAAAAAGTCCGCAACAAAACCACAAAGGAATCGTTTTGTTCACAAACCCTATCTCACCCCGCAGCCAAGCAACGAGCCGTCTCTCAGCATCATGCCGAGCGGCATGGTCTTCGAAGCAAGGCAATGACGCACCGGTCGGCCCATAAACCGATAACCCGCAGCGTTCATAAGCAAAGGTGGTCAAACTGCCGGCTATCGCCCGACCGGCGGGGTCGCGACGTACATCAGCCCAACGGCCCGGTCAATCTTTGCGCACCGCAAGCACCACACCAACGGCCCACTCCTCAAGTACTTCTGCGTACCGGCGGCCCAGGCGACTGGGAGCAGCCTCAGGAGCTCCATGCCCGATAGGCCTGTAGTACAAGATCGTCGTTACGCGGCCTCGTTTCAGCAATCACCCCAATGTCAGCGCCAAGGGAGGAGAGACACCCGCCTCAGTGCCTTGCCCCAAGCGAACCGGTTGGAACCCGGTGCTTCTTGAAAGCCGCGAGACCAAGCCGTGGTGGCTGAGCCTTTCCACGAAATCGCAACCTCCCAACCAGGCACCCGAGAAACGTGGTAGTTTGACACGCGCTCCCACTGGAAATCACACGCGCGCGCCACGCACACACACACACACACAAACACGCGGGAGAAGCAGGACTGGCTCCGTCCGGCAAGCGGGATCGCACCCGAGCCAAGCGGCCCAGCCCCCAATTTACCCCCAACGTTGGGGGTAAACTTCCTCCTAAATTGGGGGTAAACTATTGGGTAAAATTGGGGGCAAATGTTAGGTGTAAATTTGGCGGCACATGTGTAGTAAATTGGGGGGTAAACTGGAGTAAATGGTGGGTAAATTTGGGGGAACCTTGGGGGTCAATTTCGGGGTAAATTGGTGGTACTGTAACAGGCAAGGCTTAAATTACATACATACAAAACAACACAACACAACACAACACAATACAATACAATACAATACATTACACTAAAATACAATACATTACACTAAACTACAATACAACACACTAAAATACAATACAACACAACACAAGACAAAACAATACAATACAATACAAGACAGTACAATACAATTCAACACAATACAATACAATACAATACAATACAATATAAGACAAGACAATACAATACAATACAATACAATACAAGACATACATAACTACATACATGAATTACAGACATTGTAATACATTACATGAAGCATGCGTCACATTACATTATATTACATACATGTCTTACATTACATTACATTTCATCACATCACATCACATCACATTACATTACATACATACATTCATGCATGCATATTACATTACATTACGTTACATTACAATACATTACATTGCATTACATTGCATTACATTGCATTAAAATGCACACATACATACATACATACATACATACATGCATGCATGCATACATACATTACATTACATTACATTACATTACATTACATTACATTACATTACATTACAGTACATACCATACATACATACACAATCGAATGTCACGGAGCATGCAAAGGCAGCGCAGCGAGTCTGTTTTTTACCCAGCACAGGACTTGAGAATCTCAGCGGGTCTAGCCTGCTTGGCATGCCCTAGCCGAAGCGGTGCCCGCTGGGATGAGTGGATCTTGGGCTGCACGCCGTTTGCAATGGCCTGCCCAACTCTGTCCCGGAGTCTGGCTCGCAAGGGCCGTTGCGCGGCGCCATCCGCGCCGGCTATACAGCTATGCTGGCTGGTGCGTTCAAGCTGCACGCAAACACACGGCTGTCAACTGCACCATTTCTAGCTGTCTGGCGCTTGCCGCACCTCGTGGGATCTTGCAGCTGGAGGTTTTGTTGTAGAACGGGCAAATCTTTTAGCCAGCAGCGCTTGTCTTGACTAAGCCAGCCCATGGCTCGCCGTCGGCGCCGCTGCCTCTGGCCTTCTCCGCAGGCTCACTGATTCGGCGCCTCACAGCTTTGGGCTTGGATCTGCTCCGTGGGCGCTGCCTCTTGCTTGAGCGGGCGCTGGCAATGTCATTGAAAAGGTACGTGCTATGGCCCTGGTGGTGCTTGACTACCTCTGCAAAAGTGGGGAACTCCTTCTGGCGCCAGCTTAGCATCCACTTCGTCCTCGCGTGAAAGTCAGCCTTCATCAGGGCCTGGACCACAGCTGGATCGTATGGTCCGTCAAGGGCCTTTATGGAGTGAAGTCAAGTCAGCCGCTGCGAAGTCAGATTAGGCTGCCTGGTTGTAGGCAATCATGAGCTGCAAGTGGCGCTCTCGCAGTTTCCACAAACCATGGACCGAAGAATGTCCTTGCACTTCCTTGGCCGTAGATCAAGCGCTTCTTTGACGCACAGACTTCGTCCCCAGAATTGAGTCCGATGTGCGCAACATCTTGGAACCAGAGCCAGACCGACGTATGGAAATCTATTTCAAGCGGTCCGGCGTGAGCCCAGGAGACCATTCGGGGACAGAAGCTGCGCACGCCAAGTGAACTTGAAGTGATTTTTCACCTGGTCATCCAGCCGCTCTCTCTCTGCCCTTCTCCCAAGGTTGCGTTGCGGTGGAGGTCTTCATTCTTGGCCTTTGCTTCCAGCACTGCCTTAGTTCTGGGGCAAACACACCGTTTCACTACGCCATCCGCCAAATCAGCAAATGCTTCAATTCTGAATACGCCGTTTGACACCAATAATTTTGCCACTATCTCGGGCACCTTGGCATCTAACAGGCACTCGCTCAAGTTATCGGTGAGCGCCGCTGCCACAATAATTGGCGGGCATGCTCCTAGCGCCTAGCTGGCAAGCTGGCCCAAATGCTATCGAGCCCAAGATTCAGATTCAAAGGCCTAGCCACATGGCGGTCTGGCCCCTCGTACCAGTTTGACAAATCAAAACAAACGTCTTTCTGCGCAAGCAGCTTTTCTCTCAGTCATCGCTGTCTGCTCCGGAATCTGAGAACTGTCCTGAAGAAGCCTCTGGGTCGCTGTCATTGCTCGCCTGTTCCCACTCTGGCATCTGGATGGTCACATTGTCACATTTGCGACAAAACGCTGGTACAAGTGCAAGTTGCCATGCGCTTCATGCGTCTGTTCAAAGTTTTGCAAGGTGTGGTCCTTGACCGCATTACACGGCGGCCACTTGTGCAGAGTTCTGCACCCGTGCGGTGATTAATGAGTACTGCCAATGAGTTGGTCGCCACTGGCGCCGGCTGCACCCAAGTCTTCGAGCGTTCTGCTTGGAAGCGCAGATCGGCAGCATCTGCAGCCGGGCGCAGCAGCTCAAAGTCAGCTCCAGGGGTGAAGCCATTTTTCAACTGCTCCCACAGCTCGGCTTTGGCCGCCAGCTCCGCGCAACACTGCTTTGGTCATACCGCACAGGCATGCCGCTGGCTGGGCCCCATCTCCCCATGCTTCGCTTTTGCTCCATGGTGAAGCCAGCCTGCCCAGCCACGCCGCAAATGAGAAAGCGTGGGCTTCGCAGCGTGAAGTGATCAGTGTGGCCTGCTCTTTGGTGCACCCATGCCATAGCGGCCAAACAGTTGGCATAGCTGGCTCCACGAAGCTGAGAACATTGTGGTCAAGCTGCGTGGCTGGCCATCCCAATGCGGTCTGGCAGCTTCCGCTGCACCGCCGCAAAGAAAAGTTGGCCAGTCAAAGCCAGCCCAGGTGTGTCTCAACGCCCAAGGCCCAAGGACTAGCAAACTGGGCGTCGGTTTGCCTTTGGACCTCCATGCGGTGGCATGGACAGCATCACGGCATAATCCCAAGCCACTTCTGTCCAAGTCAGAGAAGCGGAGGCAAGCAAAAGCCGAGCACAACAGGAACAAGATGTTGGCTGTCTGCGGGCTGCGTTTCCAGCAAAGTGAGGAGGTCCAGGCACACTTGGCCTGCATTCGGCACGCGCTTGCTTGGCGCTGTGACAAGACTGCCACAGACCGGACTGCAGCGTCTGTCAGCGGCCACGGCAACTGAAGCACGTCATTGAGCCATTCAAGGCTGGACAGCACGCGGAACAGAGTGTTTGCCATTGCTTGTGTCTCGGAGGAAAAATGCAATGTCGATGCCTGTCAACCGTCATGCGTCCAGGCCCTTTGCCATTGCCCAGCGCTCGAGTCTGCAGACTCCACGGACGTGTTAAAAAAATGACTCTTGCTTTATGCAAGAACATGGACTTGAGCAGGTCGGGAGAATACTCCCCCGAAGCTGCTGGAGTCTGACGGACGCTGGCCCCGCTTTGTCTGACAGGGCAAGGGCAAGTTGCGGGGCGTGCTCCAGGCTTTGCCTCTGTGTCCTCTGCCGTAAGCTGGGCCGCTGCAACACCTGCGTGGGCTTTTCGCCGCTTGCCAGGCACTGGCAATGTCACTTTGCCCGGGGCCCAAGGCTCTGCAGCGAGGCTTGCTGCTGTCGTTTTTGTCCTATACTTGGACGCAACGACGGCCACGCGGGCAAGGCTAGCAAGGATTGCCTCCGATGCATCTGCAAGCCGCCTGCCACAGCCTTTCTGCGTGGCACGGCTACAGATGAGGCATCTGCGCGCAAGCTGCGTTTGCAAACTGCCCGGAGGTGTCCCAGAAGACAGTGGCAGCCATGACGCTGATGAGGCCTGCGCTCACTACAGCCTGCCTGAAGGTCTGCGGTGGCACATTTGTTTCCACCGCCGTGCGAAAGCACTTCGTCTTCTGCATGATTGGTCATGCCTGGCGGCGTTGAGGGTGGTGGTGGGCCTTCAAACTTAAGCCCCAATGTCTGCGTGAGAGAAGAATCACTCCAACGACTCCAAACATGCGTGGCACCTCAAGCTTCATGCCTCCTAGGCCGACCCCCCCTACCAGGGTAGAAGGGCAAGGAAACTGGGAGCTGCAATCAAATGTCACGGAGCACGCAAAAGCAGCGCAGCGAGTCTGTTTTTTACCTAGCACAGGACTTGGGAATCTCAGCGGGTCTAGCCTGCTTGGCATGCCCTAGCCGAAGTGGTGGGTCCCAAGGTCTTCCGCCATCCACTTCGTCCCAAGTTCTGTGCTACATGGTGCTCACATTGACGCAACTGACATATCAAGCAGGTCTGCCGGATCTACTGTCGCATTAGCATTGTCATTTCTCCGGAAAGGCGTCACGACATCTCAAGCAGTTCTGCCGCGTCGACTGCCGCTCGTGCATGAATGTTGCTGCAGAAAATGTGCAAAGCATGCGGCACATGCTGCCCACACTGACACAATTGACATATCAAGCATTTGGATTGTCATTGTTCCAGAAAGGCGTCACGACATCTCAAGCAATTCTGCCGCGTCGACTGCCGCATGTGCTTGAATGTTGCTGCAGGAATGTGTCAAGCATGCGGCACATGGTGCCCACATCAAACGCAATCGACATGTTAAGCAAGTCTGCCGAGCGGGCTGTCGCGCTGTATGAATGTTATTCCATCAATTGGCCAGGCATGCGGCACATGGTGCTCACAGCGAGAACTGCCCCCACATCAAGCCAAAGCCGGCGAGTCGCCCGTCGCATTTGCATGAATGCTCCACGGCCTTGATGCGCCGGTCCGTGAGGTCCTTGTTGTGCTGGAACTTGTCGGCGTTGTCCTGCAGCAGCCGGAACTCGGTGGCCGGCTGCTTCTGGACGTCCTCGGGGGCGCCGTACACCGTCTCGTGCGGCCGGGCGTTGTAGGCCCCGGCTGCTCGCTCGAAGTGGTCGCTCCACTGCCCGCCCTTGCGGGCCACGCGCGTGGCCAGGTCCTTCTTCAGCGTCTGGATGCCCTGGTCCACCACGGCCGTGGCGTTGCGATCCTCGGGGCGCTTCGTTCGGTGCACGGCTTCGGGCAGCTCCCGGTCCAGCGTGGCAAACTCGTTGCCCAGGTCTGTCGCGACCACGAAGTTCTTGTCGTCCCCCGTCAGCTCCTGCGCGGCGCGCTTGGTGGCCCGGCCGACCGTCTCCGCGTTCTTGTTCTGCAGGGGCCTCCCGGGCGAAGACGTCCATGACCACCAGGCCGTACCTGGTCTTCCCCCGGGTGTTCTGGCTGAAGTCGATGAGGTCGGCCTGCAGCCGGTCGTTCGGCCCCTCGGCAGCCGACTTGCCCAGCGCACGTGGCCGGGGTGCCTGCACCTGCCGGCCGCCTGCGTCACGTCGAGGTCCCGCTGTACAGCTTCCGGGGGCACGTTGAAGTCGTCGGCCAGATCCCTCAGCGCCTCCATTTTTTTACGGGTTCTTTGGACCCCGCTCTGCCAGGCTTCCACCTGCACGCCCCCCAGAGCACGCTGGTGAGGTGCGAAGTGACGTGTCAAGCGAATCTGCCGAACATATTTTCGGCATTCCGTAAGGTTGCTCTAAACTTGTGACGTATGCGGCACATGGTGCTCGCATCGAATACATGACTGCTGCCTTTGCATGATTGCCTTCAAACTTAAGCCCCAATTTCTGCGTGAGAGAAGAATCACTCCAACGACTCCAAACATGCGTGGCACCTCAAGCTTCATGCCTCCTAGGCCGACCCCCCCTACCAGGGTAGAAGGGCAACATACATACATACATACATTCATTCATACATACATTACATTGCATTACATTACATTACATTAGACTACATTAGATTACATTACATTACATACATACATACATACATTACATACATACATACATACATACATACATACATACATACATACATACATACATACATACATACATACATGCATACATACATACATTACATGACATGACATTACATTACATTACATTACATTACATTACATTACATTACATACATACATACATACATACATACATTAATTACATACATACATACATAACATTACATTACATTACATTACATTACATTACATTGCATTGCATTACATTACATTACATTACATTACATTACATTACATTACATTACATTACATTCATACATACAGACAAACATCAATTACATACATACATACATACATACATACATACATACATACATACATACATACATACATACATACATACATACATACATACATACATACATACACACATACACACATACATACATAAACCCATACATAACATAACATAACATAACATAGCATAATATTACATTACATTACATTACATTACATACATACATTACATTACATTACATTACATTACATTACATTGTATTACATTACATACATACATGCATACATTACATACATTACATACATTACATACATTACATACATTACATACATTACATACATTACATACATTACATACATTACATACAGTACATACATTACATACATTACATACATTACATACATACATACATACATACATAACATTACATTACATTACATTACATTACATTACATTGCATTGCATTACATTACATTACAATACATCACACTGCATTACATTACATATATACAGACCTACAAACAGACATACATACATACATTACATTACATTACATTACATTACATTACATTACATTACATTACATTACATTACATTACATGATATTGCATTACATTGCGTTACATTCCATTTCATTACATTACATTTCATTACATTACATTCTGTTACGTTACATAACATAACATACAATTACATTGCATTGCATTGCATTGCATTTCACTACATTACATTACATTACATTACATTACATTACATTACATTACATTTCATCACATTACATCACATGACATAACATACATAGCACGACATTCATTTCATTGCATTGCATTGCATCACATTGCATTACATTAGATTGCATGACATGACATGACATAACATACATAACATACATACCATTACATGCATTACATTGCATTGCATTACATTACATTACATTACGTTGCATTACATGACATGACATGACATGACATAACATACATACCATTACACATCAGTACATTGCATTGCATTGCATTGCATTGCATTACATTACATTACATTACATTACATTATCACAAATTAAATATTTACAGCCGTTTACGAGTGAGAAACAAATCACGAACTTCGGAATCGCACTCCTCCACCGTACAAGACTGTTGGATCTTTCACAGTGCTCAGGTTCACGTCTGATCTCCTAAAAACTACATGAAGCAGCTCCCCTGGGTTTTTTACCTCTCCATCTGCCACCTACCTTCTTAATGTATTTCTTCATCGAATTCATCTATCAATGTCACGTCTATGTCGTCATCTACCCACTACCTCGCCCAACTTCTTCATCTGTCTCTGCATCTACCTCTCCCTCTACCTCTCCCTCTGCCTGTATATCCAGCTATATCTCCCTCTATCACTCTCATACATCTTCAACTTTCTTTCCGGCGTCATCTCCAACGTGACGTGCGTGATGCGGTTGATGCTGTAAGCAAATGATACCGCTACAAAGGCCACAGCTGGCGTACAATATTACTGACAGTATGCCTGCGAGAGAACTTAGCGTCACACCCCTTCAGCGCCAAAAGAACTCGCCGAAACTCATCCGAGATGTCCAGCTTGGACCTAAGTCATGCATCTGCTGCATTCTATAAAAGTAATGCTGCTGCAAGTGCTCGTGCTAATGCTACAAATTGGGTTCACATCACCGCAAGTTAGTGAAGTGCGCATGGCAGTCCAAAACAATCATGCTGGCTGCAGGTTGACACAGCAGGTGAGCCCAGAGCACGTCGAACAAAACCAGGATCATGTCAACTCGATCAGCGAACCAGTGAACAACTTCCTGCGCAGGAGTGACGATGGAAGGACTTTTACAGTGCCCAAACATTTGAGACAACATGAACATACTTGTTAGCTTCAGCTCGAAGTCAGACTAGTCCCGGTCTCTGAAAAGCCTGTGTCATTTTAAAAGCTCTGCTGGAAGCTGCATCATGTCATTCGAATGGTGAGACACTCATAACACATCATTGGCTGTAAGTGAGAAGCGAAACAAAGACGGAGCATTGAGAATTGACAGGCACTTCAAATGCCGTCAAAGCGCGCACAAAGCAAAGCTGAAAGCGCCAGGAAATCTGCTAGCACGCTAGCTGTTCCTGTTTGCTCGTGGCTTCAGCCCGCGTTCGCAACCAATTGTGGGGTGAAACTCTACAAACTTCTGGGGCAAGCAAACTTCCACTAGAAGTTGTCTTCCGCACAGCGTTTGATCTTTGGTTTTGAAACATATTGCAGGATCTGCAAACTCCTTGTCTATGCACACTCATTTGGCTAAGCCCCACAAGGTATGATCTCACACTGCGATCATAAGATTCTCACTCACAACCTTGGCTGATACAAGTCAAGGCCGAGCCAGGCTTCAAAACTTGCTAGCAAGATGCTGACGGTTGAACATTGTCGACTGGTGCAGCGGCTGTTGGTGGTCGTAGGGAACTCAGCGGACTCATCTTCACGCTGTCTGAGGCGCCATGGGCCTGCATATTCATCCAAGCCACCCCTTTCACGCGGGTCTGAAACTCGTGCATGGTGACCTCCGAGAATCGCTCTTTCCATCTATGGGAAGATCCAGACCCTTAGGGCCCTGACCATCCCATCTTTGTTGGCATCCAGCTCTGCAAATACGTCCTGGTGACAGAGGTTGAATCTGTTGAAGCAGTTTCCATGGGATGTTCGCCCACTTCAATCTGAATGCCACTGCGTCGCGATTTTGTTTTGCATACGTCGCTTGACTCATCGGCAAACTGTCCAGTTGCGTGCGTGCGCCTGTGCAAACCACTGCGCAAACGCGGCTCACTCTGCAAGCCTGGGCGCGCACACGTATTTCTCTGTTTGTGAGCAATGCGGCACGTGTGTCTGCGTTTGTACAGCATTCGCAAGTGCACCAGCGTATGTTTTGTTTTGACCCACGCAGACAGATGTGCGCCGAATCCTACGATCACAACGAAGCGAGCGCGGCAGATATAGAAAGGGGAAGGTGAAGAGGATAGAAGCTTGGATGAGAGCACTGTGCTCGCAGTTGAGAATAATCAGAGAACAAATAGCAGGCAACACACGCACCTTCTCAAAGTCGATGATGAGTATCCAGAAGCGGGGCCACGCGAGTTTTTGCTGGGCACCACGTGCCATGATCAAATGGGGGAAGGGGGGTCCTGAACTGCTTCATGACAAGCCGTTGACGACACGGATCCATCCAACGGCACGTTCGATGACCACATTCGGTAGCGAGAGCATTCGACAGCATCAGAATCCACTATGCAATCTTCAGCTGCATCCTTGAAAGATTCTTGCCACCGCTTTCGGTATTCTCGCCGTGGAGCAAAGAGTTGGGATTCGAACAACACTTGCCATATGGGGTCCTGGAGGTCAGCTCTGAATTTTACCTTGCGTAATTTCCAAGTTTGCTTGAGGTTCGATCAAAGGGGGGGCAATGTGTAGGATACGGTGGCTCATCTGAAAAGCATTAAATGTCTGCGTTGAGTATGGATTCAGGCCCGAGCAACGTTACGGACTTTGCTCTGAGGATCGCGCGGAAAACTGTTTTCCACTCTGTGCTTTGGGCTTCCCCCAAAAGAGTTTGAGTCGATTGCCCGTATAGCCGCAGCTTGTCGGTTCACTTCTCTGCGTTTAGGGACCGTGCCGTCTACATCACGCGCGCTTTATTGCGTTTGGTGAACTCTAAGGTTGATGCGCTTGTCATGTTTGAGCACCGTGTGGTAATACTTTGGCTTGTGTGCGTCCCAAGCATTAGCATGTCATCCACGTAGAGAATTTCAGCCAATTGAATACCCTTGAATCACTGAATAGTGTCTTGCTGTTTGGATGTGTTCAGTTGTCGCTTGCTGTCGCTGAATATGGCAGACATTAGAACAGTGAGCAAGTATGGCGATAGCGGACATCCTTGACGTAACCGGAGTCAAGTATAGCGCGACGTTTAGGTTCTGCGTACATGAGGGATTCCACACTGGCGCTCCGAGATGTCCAATAGCCTATGAGCGATGAAGATCGCTTGTGCTGTTGATTTCTTTGGTCGAAAGCCGAATTGTGCATACAGCAATCACGTAGCATGCTAGCCAAGAAGGAGTTTGTAGTAGACTTGGAGAGGCAATGGGTCTATAATTGTTCATCTGCATAGCGTCACCTTTCTTGTATCAAGCGGCTATATTTGCTAGTTTAAAGGATTCAGGAATTCTCTGACCCCTCCACTTCCGTGTTGGGAGAAGGAAGAATGGATTCGGCACAGCGCAAGTTCAAAGAAAAGGCTTCCTTCCCCTTGTTTACAACAATGGTGGGCCCACGTTTGCGAATACAAACCATTCAGCCTTTGGACCGAGCCAACGTGCCTGAGAGAAATGCACGCAGGCGAATCTAGTCTCGATCTTCTCGACAAGCCGCTCAGCAGCTCTTCAGAGCCCTATGATTTGTCCCATTCTTTGCGCTATCATTGTATATATGGCGTTGCGATAAAGTTGCGCTATCAAGCCATTTCACGAGTTCTGCCCTGCATCGGTCGGAGCCAGGGACTTTGTTCTTTTGGGAGTTTGATAGCCGAATCCAGTTCATGGATAGTGAACAGACTATCACTCATTGAACTCTCAGTGTCCAGTAGTGGAGAATGTTCTGTTCCCAATTGTCTGCTGGTTCTATCCAGTGAAGCTCGGCAAAGTAGTCGGCAGCACTATGTGGGAAGTCTGCTTCTCTAACAATTTATCCATGTTTGTTGCGGCGGAAATTGAAACGTTTGGGTTGGAATGCTTTTCTTGCCTTTTTCAAGCCGTCCCATTTGTATCCATGTCTATCGATCGCTTCCATTTCTTGCAGAAGTGTGGTTCCTTTATCGGTCTCACATTGCTTTCATGTGCTATAGAAAATTGATCCGCCTTGTCAAAGTCTCCGTATTGGTGCTTGTTGTTGTTTTCTTCGATCTTCTGTCACGTTCTTGTTTTTTGCGCAGCAGGGATGACATTCAGGTTTCCGGCGGTGCTATCAGAGGAGGTCAAAACCTTGCGCAGCTGTCCATAGGCCCTGCTGTGAAGCTTCAACCCTGGCTTGGACAAAAGAATTGTACATTTGATTTTGTTTCGCTATTGGGACGCGAAATTTTGGGGCTGGCTTTCGTTTCTGTGCAGTTTGCTTCTTCTTGCTAGATTTATACTCAAGTCTGCAACGAAAAGCTCGCCTGTTCTCCTGATCGCTCCTCCGCTCTTTCGCTGGTTCGCCGGTCCACTGGCTCGCAGGTAGGCCGGCTCGCTGATTCGCAGACTGGCTGCTCGCTTTCTTGCTTGCAGGTGATGCTTGCTTGTTTGCTTGTTTGTTTTTGGCTTGTTTCCTTGCTTGTTTGGGTGTTTGTCTGCTTGTTTGTTTGGTTGCTTCGTCGCTTGCTGGCTTGCATGCTTGCTCGCTTGCTCGATTGGTTGGTCAGTTGGCTGGCTGGCTGGCTGGCTGGCTGGCTGGCTGGCTGGCTGGCTGGATCGCACGCTTGCTGGCTTGGCTTGCTCGGCGTGCTCGGCTTGCTTTGCTTGCTGGCCTGGCTTGGCTTGGCTTTGCTCTGTTTTACTTTATTTTACCTTGCTTTACGTTGCGTTCCGTGGCTTTGCTTTGCGTTGCGTTGCTTGCGCGCGCGCGCGTGCGCCTGCACGTGAATGCGTGAAGGTGTTCTTAGCGTGCATTCATGAACGCTTGCTTGCGTGCGTGCGATGAGTGCAAGCTTGCTTACTGGCTAGCTTGATCGCCGGCTCACTCGCTTGGTTTTGACTGTTTGTAACAGTTGTTGTTATGTTTGCAAGTTTGCTTGTTTGCTTGCTTGTTGGCCTGCTGGAATGCTTGCCTCCCTTTTTGCTTGTTTGCTTGCTGGCTTGCTAACGTGTTTGTGTGCTCTGTCTCTATATATCTCTGTCTGTCTCTGTCTGTCTGTCTCTCTCCCGCTCTCTCTCTTTCTCTCTATGTCTCTGTTCTGTTTGTCTGTCTCTGTCTGTCTTGTCTGTAGTGTCTGTCTCAGTCTGCGGCTGTCTGGCTCTGTCTCCGTCTCTCTGTTGCTGCCTCTGTCTGTCTCTGCTTGTTTCTGTTCTTTGTCAGATTGCCCGTGATTCTTTGTGGTGCTTCGTGTATTCCGTGTGTTTGGCTTATTTGGTTTGCTTGAAACAGTTGGTTTGTTCGGCATGTCTGGAGTTGTTGGTTTTGCTGGTTTGCTTAGCTTGTGTAGTGTGCATGTGACTTTTTGCGTCTGCATGTTCGTGCGTGTTAGTTTGTGTGTCTCATGCACTCTCAGCAACGGGTCCTCAAGGCACGTGTCGGGAAATGTCCACTGCAAGGCGGTACGCACCTCGCGCATTGCAAAAAGTAAAAACACGCCTTCGCATTTTGAGCGTGCCCGCTGCAAAAAGCCTTCGCACTTTCGCGCAACGTCGCACAAAACGCTTCCGGGATCTGGATGCCGCTTCCGCGGTCTCGCCTCTGTGTCGCTGCAAGCTGTCAGGAGCTCGTGGGCTGTGACCATCCCGTCATGGTCTCGGTCTAGCCTTAGACTATTCTGGCAAGGGACAGGTTGTGTGCGTGTGTCCGCCCGCTCGTCATATTAGGGCTTCGTTGACAAAGATTTCATTCTATGAACTCTGGCATGGATTCGGAAGTTTCGGGTCGCTCAACAAGATTGTGGATAATGTTAAAAACAAACACAGCTACCAGCAGGACATCGTCCAGAGTTCAGGTCTGATTCATAAAATGGCATGGCTGTCTCATTCAACGGCCTTCGGAAAATATGCTCCAGAACATCACCATCAGCACCTGAGCAGC